TACGAAGAATTTGGCCTAAGACCTGAGCCCAAAGTTAAACTCGATTTATCCAACTCGATCCAACCCACACTAGAATTTGATACACTTTGGGTTGGGCTTGGACTTTGGTTAGTCTCAAGTTGGGAAAATGTCGGGTTAGGGCTGGGTGCATCCTAAAAAATAAACAAGGTTAGATGACAAACTTTGTTAAGTGAAATTAATGCTTAAATTGGAATTGGGTCGGCTTGGGTCAGCTGGGGATGTCATAGATATAGTTGGGTCATGTGCATTGTACGTGGCCCAACTAATTTAATTTAAATTAACACATCACCCAAGTTGCAGCCCTATTCCGAACACCCTATTGGATCGAGGAAAATAAGAGCACTTGTTTATGCACGTGTATAATTAAGTATTAAGTATATATGATATTTGGATTTAACTTTTATGACCTACAATGAACCCTATGCAAGTATCAACTTTATACTTCGATATAAACCCTATATTATATTTCATTTTTATAATACCTTCACAATTATTTTAAACTCGCACCCATGTATAAAACATGTCATGCCTTTTATCTTTACTAGTTACTTTGCATATTCATTACATATGGGAATTTTGATTATGATAATGATAGTAAATAATATGTTTCTAAAATTTTCTACAAATTTTTTATATTTCCATATCTATAAAAATTATTCTTATTTGTCACATTTATTTTTTGTTTAATGTGATGAATATATGATATTAGAGATGTACTCAAATGTTTTCTATACTTTTATTTTATATTTTTTATACTTTTGTGTGTCTTCATCTTTTTAGTTATTATTATCATTTAATTAAGACATCAAGGTTTGACATATATGACCCAAAAGGTTGAATTGTTGACTTGCCACTAAATAGGAAAACAACCAGATTATTGTGTTAGTTTTATATTTATATTTTATTTCTCTCATCAATACAAATAATTATTCTTTGTCATGCTTCTTTAATATATTTAATTAAAATATGATTCAATGAAAGAATGGGAGTTAACACCTAAAATATAAGACTTAATGAGAGGGAATTGAATTTCAAATTTGGATGGAGTGAGTAAAATCTGATTGAAAATTGGATGGGATTCATCGAAAATTTTCTTTTTCATGAAAAATTTAATTCTTGTTTTGAATAAAAAAAAAGCCTTTTAGTATATTTAATATTTGGGTAAATTACAAAGAACCCTGGTATTATAGGGTCAGTGACAAAGATCCCCTATACTTTAATTTGCAACAAAGACCTTTCTGAACTAACCCGCCCCCTCTCCATTAGTGTTTCATTAGTTAACTTCAAAAAATAAAATATAATTCAACTGTTTAAACTTTATTTATTTTTAACTCCCAAACTATCCTTTCTTATTTATTTGAATGCTGAGAAGGCATCACTGACCAGATCACCATGGAAACCAGTGACCACGACGACCATTGATTTGTTCAATCCTCTTCCGCTATTCCTGAATGTTGAGGGTGAATGGTGAATGACACGTCGGCACCAACTGGGAGTAGAGTAGAAGCAAGGAAAAAGGAAAATAAAAAAAAAGTGATTGGTGAGCAATAATGATGAGAAAAGGAGATACTAAAATTAAATTAGGTTAGGGTTTAAGAGAAAAGGGCAACGGAAAAAAAAAATAAGTTTAGGTGGATATTTTAATTTTAATAGTTTAACACATTTTACCATCTAACTTAACAGTTAGGAGGTATTTATCGTATTATAAAAGTTTAGGAGTTCTTTGTCACTGATCCCATAATACAAGGGAATAGTATAGGGAAAAATCCATATTGGTTCTGCAGTAAGTCCATTGGAATCGGATGAAATCCAAAATCCTAAAAATCTGATCAGAATCGAACTTAGATGAACTGTTCATACACCCGATTGAATTTCAAATCGGATTTGGATTCCATTAATTCCTTACCGTATCGAACTCAGGTTTAGGTGAGTTCTATCCAAATCCAGTCTTTTAAAAAATCAAACATCGCTGAAGTCACCTCCTCCACTGCATTGATGGACTGAGAGAGAAGTTTCAGTTCACGACATTCAACTGTTGCAGGCTTAGCCTCCCATCGTCGTTAGCCGCAGTTCTCATTTCCTATCCAAGTTCGGTTGAAGAACAACTAAATCAAAACCACTGTCCTGTCACTACCGTCTCTACAACTCGGCACAATACCAAGATATCACAACCTACAGCAACCTTCCCCCTTCCCCCTCTCTGCATGGTCGAATCTGAAAGCCGGACCATACTTCTGCCACCGTCGTTGAAGACAGAGGTTGATGGTTGCAGGAGCTCGAAGGAACAAATCCTAATCCTCGACAAAGAAGGTAGAAGGAAAGGAAAGAGAGAGACTTTAGACTTTCGTTTTGGAGTCTGACGTTGCCTTTAAAGGGGGAGGATCCGTTAATTATTGAAATGGATGAATTTAGGGTGTTCATTGTTTGGTTTAAACCGTAAAATCAAATTTGCGATTTAGTTCGGTCTGTACTTGAAAACGGTTTGATTCGGTTTCATATTTTGTTAAATTATGGTTTGTGGTTTTTGTTTGGTTTCATATTATATTATATATAATAAATATATCTAAACTGAATATATAAAATTATAAATATATAATATTTTTTTATTTTAAAATAAAATAATAAAAAAATGTTTTGAATTTTAATTTTAGAGATGCTATTTAGCCTTTCTAATTGGATTAAGTCCAATCATATTAGAAAATACAACAAACAGTAATAAAATGGTTTGATTTGGTTTCATGCCAAAACAGTTTAATTTGGTTTGAAAATTTCAGACCTTAATTTACTGGTTCGATCTGAGATCTTCTCTAACTAGAGTTTGAATACCCCTACGTGAATTAGAAAAAGTGATATAAGTTATAGTATAGATCGAATGGTCCACTAAATGCGAGCTCGTTGATGAAATGCCTGAAAATGTTGGACCCTTGGGTCCACCTTTTACACGAACCCTGCTACAAAATTTTACCACATGAGCTTAAAAACTTTTAATCGGCAATTGGTCACTCCGACTGTTCATCGAGTTCGGTTCAGCTACCAATCCTGTCCCAACTGGCCATTGCAGCTGGGGAACATCTCCCCATGAATGAGAAGGGAGATGCATGTTTCCAATATAAGGCTGCAGTGGCCTCTTGGGACAGGGTCGGTAGCAATCTCTACCCCCATTCTTCATCTTCAACCACTCCGGATTTTCTATTCACTTTTTCTATCCACTCTCTACCCATCTATCCATCGTTAATTGAGTCACACATCTCTATTATGAATTGAGAGGTGTGTGGCTACAATTCACGGCCGGTAGAGAGTGGGTAGAAAATCTGAGCTCATCTTCAACATCCCATTTGAAGAAAAATGCACCACTGCAATGAGTTCAGCTTTGCTCATCTTCAACATCCATGCTCACACCATTCGAACAACCTCTTACAACCTTTCATTGAGAATATTATTCTCTCCATGAAATAAAGTACTTTAGTACGGAAATATTCTTAATACAAAACTGTTCGAACGGGCGCTCCACTACAACTCCTTTTCTTCCACCCTATCTATCTCTCTTCTTCCTCTTCTTGGATCTCTGCCACTAAAGCCGAGTCCTTGAACCATGGCTGCTCGGTCATCCTCTCCCTCCCTATATTTCTTTTCCGTACTCCTCCTCTTTCTTGATCGAGCAAATGCAGTATACAAAGACCAAACCAATATTTGAAGCCACTATGCAAGCCTAGTCGGTCGGTCCTATCTCTTATTGAAGAACATAGTGCAGCGACAAATCACGGCGACCATTTCTTATTTTGAAACCGCAACTACCAATCTTCCTTGCCCTATACTTCTTCTCCTTCCCACCCTTCTCATCAGTAGTAATAACGTAGACGTCCATGGGCCCATGCATGGCCCATGCACGCCTACGGCCCATCAAGAAAACCTAACCATATAGGTTCCCCTAATCTTATCTCAAGAAAACAAATTGGGATAATCTTAATCCTACCTCTAAATAAGAATGATCTTAGATAACCCTAAACTAACCCAGATAAGCTTTATCTCTTATCCTTGTAGAGTCTCACTGTAACTCAACCAATGTAACTATAAATAGGGTTGATTCAACCCTAGTACATACCAGTTAATCAAATCTTTTCCCAATATTTTTATTATTTTTCTGTTTTTCCTGTTTTAACGTGGTATCAGAGACATGTCGACATCCAACAATGGCTCAATGTCAAGCAGTGCGCTCCCTTCAATCCAGAACGTCACCCATTATTAGGGTTGTTCATAAGAAGGCCCAACCCGACCAACCCGACCAATCCGGACCGACCCAACCCGAGTCGGTTGGGTTTTCATCAGCACCGGTCGGTTTCGGGTTGTACAAATTCATAAACCGATGGTTCGGGTCGGTTTCGGTTTTCTTGTGTAAAAATCGAAACCGACCCGAACCAAACCGACTTAGTTCCTACTTAACTATTTAAATATATATTTCGATTTTAAGTTAAATCGACCTAATCTATTTAAATATATATTTCGATTTTAATTTAAATATATTTTATATTTAAAACTGTTAAATAAAGATATTTCAGTTTTACATAAAAACTGAAATATCTAACAACCCAAACTTGCACCACGCAGGCACATGGGCCATGGGAGGCATGGATGAACTTAGAGCCGAAACTGACCCAAACCGACCCAACCTGACTCAAACAGACCAGGTCGGTTTTGCTTAACACTGGGTCGGTTTCGGTTTCCATCTTAGGTAACCCGACCAGGTCGGGTCGGTTGGAAAAACCTCAGTAAACCAACCCAACCCGACCCGTGAACAGCCCTACCCATTATCTTCCTATCAAATTAGGAAGCGACAACTACCTACTGTAACGTGCTCAGTTCCTTCCCATCCTTCGACACCACCATCTGTTGGAACTCGTAGAAGGGAAGAAGAATCCACCGCTTGAAGTTATACCCAATCCAGACGGTACAGGGATGATTGCAAACCCTGAATTCGAAAAATGGACAGACACCGATCAGCTTGTGTTGAGTTGGCCGATTTCCTCTCTCAGTAAAGGAGTTATGGCACAAGCGGTAGGTCTGTCGACATCATGTGAGGTATGGACTTCCCTTGCTCACAGTTATTCTACACACTCCCGATCCAGGGTACTGTAGTTGCAAAGACAACTGCAAAATCTTAAAAAATGGTCTCTTTCTATTTCTGCCAATATACAGCAAACAAAATCCATTGCTGACAGTTTCTACAATATCTAAACCAGTGCTCAAGTCTGAACTGATAATTTATATTTTATCTGGCTTAGGGAGTGAATATGAGTCGGTGGTTACAACACTTACCAATCGACCAGATGCAGCAAATTTCAGTATTGTTGATATTATGGGAGCACTTTTGAACCATGAGAGCTGGCTTGAAGACCTAGCACTTGCATCAGACACTCGAAGTGCAAATCTGGCCGGCGTCCCTCCTAAGAAAAATAATTTTCAGAAGCCCCCGCAACGGTTCTCTCCAAACTTCAACAACAACAGAGGTAAGGGGCGTGGACGTGGTGCTCCACAATATAATCACCAATCCTTTCAAAATCAATCTCAACAATTTTCTAGAGGATGCGGAGGTAAAAATAATGTCACTTGTCAGATCTATAATAAATTTGGACATAGTGCCCTGTAGTGTAGAAAAGCAAAATATGCCTTTGGTTTTTCTGATAATTCTTGCAATGATCTTTCTACATTTCATGGAGGGGTAAATACATCCCATAATCAGTATGAAAATAATTTTGATCCCAATTGGTACCCGGACTCTGGGGCTACTCATCACATGACCCCAAATATAGATAATCTGCAGAGTCGTACTGAGTATACTGGACCAAATCAAGTGAACGTCGGCAATGGTCAAGGTTTGAATATTCATCATACAGGATCTTCTTCTATGATTTTTAATCAGCATGCTTTTTCTTTGAAGATATCTGTCATGTTCCTTCTATCTGCAAGAATTTATTTTCTGTTAGTCGATTTACAAAGAATAATGATTTGTTTTTTGAGTTTCACCGTGGCTGTTGCTATGTGAAGGATTATACGGGGAGAATCCTCCTTCAAGGGGCCAGTAGAAATGGGTTATATAGTTTTCCAACGTCAGCCACAATCACACCCGAAGCACTTCTTAAAGAACATACCTCACTTCGTGGTTAGCATCATCGCCTTGGTCATGCAGCTATGCGAAATGTACGACAAGTTATATCCAAGTTTGGTCTTCCGTTTTTTAGATCTAGTGTTAATGAGTTTGTTTTTGAGTCCTGTCAAATGGGCAAGAATCATAGAATGCCCTTGAAGTCGTCTAATTCTTAGTCTAAGCGTCCATTAAATTTAATTTTTTCAGATGTATGGGGACTTGCTCCCGTTAATTCGAATAATGGATTTTCTTATTATGTTATTTTTATGGACGATTTTTCAAAATTTTCTTGGGTGTATCCTATGGCTTGAAAATCATATGTTTGTGATTTATTTATTAAATTTAAGAGACATGTAGAGGTTCTGTTCAATGCCAAAATAAAAGTCTTTCAGTCTGATTGGGGAGGAAAGTATCGCTCTCTCTCTCCCAGTACTTAGATTCGCAAGGCATCACACATTGATTGGCATGCCCCCATACACACGAACAGAACGGATCAGTTGAACGGAAGCACAGACATGTGGTTGAATCTGCTTTATCTCTACTGGCCTCCTCCAATCTCCCCTTCTCCTTCTGGGCTGATGCGGTAGAAACTGCAATTTTTTTGATAAATCGACTGCCAATAGAGGTATTGCATGGTATGTCCCCTCGAGAGAAACTCTTTCAGACAGCTCCCGATTACTCTCTATTGTGTTGTTTTGGGTGTGCGTGCTATCATTTTCTGCGACCCTACAACAAAAATAAGTTTCAATTCCGATCGCTTTAGTGCATTTTTATTGGCTACAGTACCTCTCACAAAGGGTACAGGTGTCTCCATGTCCCTTCAGGGCGTATTTTTATAGCTCACCATGTGGTATTTGATGAAACATTATTTCCAATAATTCCTGACACAATGTCAAGCACAACTCCTGCTTCCACAGGAATTATCATTTCAGGTCTTGCACCTCTGCAACTTGCAACACCGCCGATACCTCCTTCATTGTAGCCTCCATTTGCACCAGCATCTAGCTCCAGTTCAACGACCATCTCTCTAGACTCAGGACCTTTGGAACAATCCTCTTCTGACTGACCACAAAGGTATCGCAGTATGCAAGATTTACTGAACTCTACAGCCCTAGTTTCTCAATCGGTACGCAATCATTCTATGTGTACGCAGACCATGGATAGGGCCATTCCTCAGTCCCAACTTGCGACAAGGTATCCGATCCCGTCTGCTCTTCTCACTCTCCTACAGGATCAAGAACCTAAAAATTTTAACCAAGCCGCCAAATCACCAAACTGGCAACTGGCTATGCAAAAAGAATACCAGACCCTCATTAAAAATGACACTTGGCACTTGGTTCCCTATGATCCCTCCATGAACATAATCGAAACTAAGTGGATATACAAAATAAAGAAGAAGGCAGATGGAACCATTAATCGCTATAAAGCCTGACTAGTTGCTCAGGGCTTTAACCAGGTCCCTGGTCTAGATTACTTTGATACCTTTAGTTCGGTTGTCGAACCGGTAACCGTACGGACAATCCTCTCCGTTGCTCTTGCGCAGAATTGGCCAATTCATCAACTGGATATTGACAATGCCTTCCTTCATGGCATCCTTGATGAAAACATTTATGTGAATCAGCCAAAAGGGTTCATTGACCCCAAATACCCTAATCATGTCTGCAAATTGAAGAAGGCTCTCTATGGCCTAGAACAAGCACCACGAGCCTGGCACTCACGGTTGAGCTATGTTCTCAAATAGATGGGATTTTGCAACTCTTCTGCCAATCCATCACTGTTTATTTTCTCCTCCCAACAAACGACCCTACTTTTGCTTGTATATGTCGATGACATTATTTTGACTAGAAACTCTGTTGCTGCTATTAGTAGGTTTTTCAAGGACTTAGGGTCACTGCATTATTTTCTAGGAGTTGAGGTAAGTCGCAAATCTGGCAATTTGTTCCTCTCCCAGTAGTGTTACATCCTGGATCTACTACATCGAACCAACCTTGAAGGGACCAAACCTGCAAGCTCGCCCATGTCCACCTCTGGCCGACTCTCAAAAGATTCCGGTGAGCCCTTATCTAACCCCACGGAGTATCAGAGCATTGTTGGGGCTCTTCAGTATGTCACCATCACTCGTTCGGATATCTCCTTCGCAGTCAACAAATTCTGCCAATTTCTTCACTCTCCTACTGATGAACATTGGATAGTGATCAAACGAATACTTTGATATCTCAAGGGCACTCTCACTCACAGTCTTCATTTTCAGGGATACTCTTCCCGATAGCTGATTCCTTACACTAACGCCGATTGGGCCAGCTGTCCTAATGATCGACGATCCACAAGGGGCTATGCAGTTTACCTTGGCTCCAACCTGATTTCCTAGAGCTCTAAAAAGCAACATACCATTGCTCGCTCCAGCACCGAATCTGAGTTCAGATCTCTCGCCAACACAGTCACAGAGTTGTTATGGATTCGGTCTCTGCTACGAGACATTGGCTTTCTAGCTCCTCCCCCTGTTCTCTGGTGTGATAATATGGGTGCTACCCACCTGGCCGCCAACCCCATTTTTCATGCCCGTACGAAGCATGTGGAGGTGGACTACCATTTTCTGCGTGACCTTGTCACTCAGAAGCAGTTTCAAATTCAGTATGTTCAGCTTGTGGGGGGATAATAGCGTAGACGTCCATGGGCCCATGCACGCCTACGTAAATCTTCAGGCCCATCAAAAAAACCTAACCATCTAGGTTCTCCTAATCCTATCTCAAGATAACAAACTGGGATAATCTTAATCCTACCTCCAGATAAGATTTATCCTAGATAACCCTAAACTAACCCAGATAAGCTTTATCTCTTATCCTGGTACAATCTCATTATAAGTCTCACTATAACTCAATCACTGTAACTATAAATACGGTTGATTTAACCCTAGTACATACCAGTTAACCAAATCTTTTTCCCAATATTTCTATTATTTTTTTTATCCTAGATAACCCTAAACTAACCCAGATAAGCTTTATCTCTTATCCTTGTACAGTCTCACTATAACTCAACCACTGTAACTATAAATAGGATTGATTCAACCCTAGTACATACCAATTAATCAAATCTTTTTCCCAATATTTCTATTATTTTTTTTGTTTTTCCTATTTTAACTATCAGTAACCCCTTCCCGCAAATTGTTCCTTCTCTCCATAACTACATAGAACTAAATCTCAAGCCAATCGATCATGCAAATTCTAATTTTTGAAATGGCAAAATAAGTACCAAGAGTAGTTCACAGAAGAATCTATAACTCTAGAAGTAACCAATCAAAATCTCCAAACTGATCATAAAAAAACACATCAAATCATTCCTTGCGTTTCTCCATGTAAAACCTCAAAAATAAACGGGAAGCCAAAGTGCAAAGCCGCCTGCCTTGTAACAAAGCTTGGATCGATGTATAGTACAGGACAAAGAGAATCATTCCAAACAAACAAAACAGAATTAGATTGTCATTGAAAGAGTACAATGCAAATATGTACAGTGCAAATACATACAAAATAATACAAAATATAAAATTTTGTACTCTGCATATTGTCATTGAACTCCCATTTGTACTCTGCATAATACAAAATATAAAGTGTTAAGATGACGTGTTGAAAAATAATTGGAGGGCCCATGTAGAAGGTGGACAAAAGGGTCCATAAAATGCAAGTCCCTAATGAGTCTAATATCTAAAAAAAACAAATAAATTGCATATTAGTATCCTATACTCTAGGGCTAGTTTCATTTTTAGTACCTCAACTTTAAAACACGCCATTGCAATACTTTGATTCCTGAAAATTACCAATTTTGTACCTGTAGTTAGCAATTGATTAGTTATATTGTATCACATAACATGTGCAACTTAAATTTTTCTAGAAATGCCAAAACTACATTTTTAATATTTTTAAGACCTGTTTACCTTGATTGTCTTTCCTAGTGACAACCAAAATTATTCATCTTCTTCGACAACAATGACAGTCTAAACCCCCCTTTATTATGGACTGAATAACTAAAAAGAAGGATTAGAACAACAATGGTTTAAATCACTTTTGTCCGGCAACAACATCCATCTTCTCAATAATGTCTTTTCGTATAGCTTCTCTAAGGCTCCATTTGGTTTGTGGGATGGGGATGAGAAAAGGGAATATTCTGAAAATATTCTTTTTTCTCTCACTTGTTTTGAAGGAAAGAGAGGGATGGGATGAGAAAAGTGTGGGATGTCAGATCCCAAAATCATGGATATGGGGTCGCACCAAAACCGTGTGGCCCCGGTGGAAAAATTTGGGAAAGCACTATTACAACCGAAAGAACCACCGTTACTGGCCTTCTTCTTCACCTGGCAAGGAACCAGTGCGAGGGGCAGCGGCGATCTGCAACAATCTCCCTCCATCTTCCTCTTCTCCCTCTCCTTCTTCCCCTCTTCACCAGATTTGTGGCGATCTACGAGGGGCACTCCTATTCTTCCCATCTTCACCAGATCTGTGGCAAACCAGGCAGCGGCGAAGTGAACCAAGCAACGACGAAGAACCAACAATACTTTTCTAGCAGTGAATGCTTCCCTGTTCCCTATTCTTCCCATCTTTCTCCCTCACCTTCTTCTTCTTCCGGTGAAGAACCAACAATTTTTCCTTTATTTTCCCATGTATAAAACCAAACACTGGAACCCATCCCATCCCACCCAAATCTTCCCACAAACCAAACGAAGCCTAACGGAAAGCATTGGTTCTTTAGCAAAAAGGTTAGAGCATAAATTGAATAGTGGTATTCAATCATAGTGAAAAGGGATTTTAAACATGGCTATTTTGACCATTTCAAAATTATGATTCTCGTCTATTCAAAATTTGAAGGGTATTTGTGTCCTTTTTACATACCATTTAACATCAGATAATGATTTTAAACTAAAGTCACTAGAGATGCAAATGGATTGGAGCATATCTGAATCAAGGTATATCCAAATTTGATACAATAGTATAAATAGTAGCTTCAATCCGGTCGAATGTTATATGCATCAATTCGAATTTGAATCCGTTAAGGATGTTAGATATCCAAATATAATCCAATCTGATATAATTTCTGAAAATTTAAAAAAATATATAAAATTTTATATAAAGAAAATCAAAGAATACAAATATTTTGTTCAACTATTTAATCATATATATATATATATATATATACATTTTTTTTATAAAAAAAAACTCCAAATACAAGAGTTTGGATCTCTTGCACTCGGAATGGTGTGTGTTGGGATGCACTTCCGATCATAATTGAACACATTAGACAATTCATATGGACTCAAAGGAAAGAGGGAAACTCAATCAAACCCTAGAACTTGATGGATGCCATTAACGATTTTAAAACTCTCTTTCTTCAAGCTTCAACCAGGGGCAGAAGCCATTAAAGATTGCAACTTCAGAGAATAAGTTTTATAAATAAAGATTGGTTTTTTCTCAAATCTTCAATCAAGAGTGGGAGTCATCTGCAAATAGACTTGTGTTTTTGTCCTCAAACATTAGCAGAAGTTACAAGTCTCATGTTGTTCGAAGCTAATTTTCTAGCTTCAGTCAAGGACAACTTACATGCATTCTTCTGTTTTAAGGGCTAGAGGAGCCAGCTATCTAGTGAAAGGATTGAATTAGAGAGTTATTGTTTCTTTGGGTTTTTTGTCAATACCTATGGTCTTTAATAATGGTTTGAGATCTAACTTAAGTTGATATTGTTAAACAACGGCTTGAGATTTTGCAGAAATTTCACGTTATTGACAACACTTGTCGCAGCTTCACCTTCTGAAATTGGGTCTTCTCTCTTCTTGCAAATACACTGATAGGGTGGCAACAAAACCTTGCACGGGGATCTTGTTGATAGCGTCCCTGTAAAAAGTGAAAAGAAGAAGAAGAATCATTTTTTCTTATGCCATTCTTGAATAGAATTTCCTGTTTCAATTTTTTTTAATCTTAAGTTCTCTGCTTATTTTTCACAAAGATGGTTTTTTACTCCATCGTTAGATAACTCAAACTATCTTCATTTATTTTAAAATATAAAAATTAAGACACAAATGGAGGGTGTTATCACCCTCAAATGAATGGAAGTGCACCTCAGCATACACCATCTCCAGTGCAGAAAACCCGGACTCAAATGCAAAATATTAATATGCAATTTATCATCTAAAATCGGAGTTCAAATCAGCTCCCCACAAAATTGCCCCCCATAATGTCTCACAGCACATCTCTGCCTTGTATTGGGAACATCTTCCAATGATGACATCATCATTTTTTATATTACAATTGGGAGATGTTACCAATATAAGGCAGGGATGTGCCGTGGGACGTTTGTGGGGGGCAATTTGGTGGGGGGGGGCTGACTTTATCTCATAAAATCGCCCCACAAACCACAGTCTAGTAGCCTATAACAGTACATTGGGAATATTTACTGTAGCGGCTGGATTTCTTTACTTACATATTATGCGTATTTGTACATTATTATTCATGGAGATATTCCCAATAGACGATGGGATGTGACTGTAAAATCAGTGTGAAGAGTGCTTGCTATCTGAGTAACAGATCCGGATTCGTGAGTGCCATCGTTCTCCGAATTATATGGTCGCAAGAAATGCGATTTTCCACAGATTACCCCCATAACATCTCACAGTACATTCAAGCCGTGTATTGAGAACATCTCCCAATATCGAGAGATATTCACAATACACGATGAAAATGTGTTGTGGGACGTTGTAAAGGGTAATCTGATGGGGACAGATTTGAATTCGATCCTAACGATCAAAAATGTACCTTCGACAGAAGCACGTGAATTCAAAGAACAGAGACAACCTGCCAACAAAATACGTTCCCACACCCTACCAACATATTCTTACACCGCATATTTTAAATTGGAAGCGCAATTTTATATATTTCCACGCTCGAAGGTGGATTCCTATTGGTCCAGTAAATAGATCATAACGTCTTTTAAATGAAAACCCTAACAACTCAAGATCGCATCTCTCAACGTTCATATATTCATATATCCCATCGTCTTTTAAATAAAAACCCTAAAAACTCAAGATCGCATCTCCCAACGTTCAAATTTGAACTTCCCTCGACCAATTTTCCCACTTATTTTTTGAACTTYTCTCCCCCTCTCCCCCCGTCTCTCTGAATCTCTCTATCTGTCTCTCTGATTAAACGAAGAAAGGTACAAGAATGGGTGGTTCACACAGTCGCGAGGATTTGGAGACGTCAGACGAAGACGAAGAAGAAGAAGAAAACGAAGAAGAATACCAAGATGCTGAAGAGGAAGGAGAAGAAAGGCAACAGAGATCTTCAGGAAACAAAGGCAAAACCCTAACTTCTCTAGATGAGGTCGACGCTAAGCTCAAAGCTCTAAAGCTCAAATACCCATCACATAATCCTACTCTCAAGAACGCCGTGAAGCTCTATCTTCACGTCGGAGGCAATACCCCTAAAGCCAAATGGATAACGTCGGAGAAACTCACCTCTTACTCCTTCGTCAAGACGTCCAGAATCGACGACTGCAGCGATGAAGATGGAGAATCCGACCACGATGGAGAGTCCTGGTGGGTCTTAAAGGTTAGCTCCAAGGTCAGAGCTAAGGTTGCAACAGAGATGCAATTGAAGATGTTCGGCGACCAGCGTCGCGTCGATTTCGTCTCACAAGGCGTCTGGGCAATGAAGTTCTTCACCGGCGAAGACTATCGGAATTTTATATCTACTTTCCAGGGTTGCTTGTTTGAGAACATTTACGGTCTCGAAGCCAATGATGAGAACAAAGTCAAAATATATGGAAAGGATTTTATTGGATGGGTGAAGCCGGAAGCTGCCGACGATTCGATGTGGGAGGACGCTGAAGACAGCCCTTTTAAAAGCCCCAGCTCGGCGACTCCAGTGAAGGCGAGTCGGGATCTGTTGGAAGAGTTTGAGGAGGCGGCAGACGGTGGAGGAATTCAGAGCTTGGCCTTGGGTGCGTTGGACAATAGTTTCTTAGTGAGTGATTCTGGTATTCAGGTTGTCAAGAATTTCAGTTATGGAATTCAAGGAAAAGGTGTTTGCCTGAAGTTCAACAATGGGAATTCGAGAGGTGGTTCGAATTTGGGGCTTTCAACACCCAAGAAAGCCCTTCTCATGAAGGCAGAGACTAATATGCTCCTCATGAGCGCGATGAATGACGACGGTAAGCCTCATGCAAGGGGGCTTCATCAGCTTGACATTGAAACGGGAAAGGTTGTTACCGAATGGAAATTTGAGAAGGATGGAACTGATATTACCATGAGAGACATCACTAATGATAGTAAGGGGGCCCAATTGGATCCTTCAGAGTCTACTTTCTTGGGGTTGGATGATAACAGGCTCTGCCGGTGGGACATGCGTGATCGCAAAGGGATGGTTCAGAATCTTGCAACTTCCAGCACTCCTGTCCTGCATTGGGCCCAGGGGCATCAGTTCTCACGAGGTACAAACTTTCAGTGCTTTGCCACCACAGGTGATGGCTCAATTGTTGTTGGTTCTTTCGATGGGAAGATCCGCCTGTACTCGCAGACTTCTATGAGACAAGCAAAGACCGCTTTTCCAGGGCTTGGTTCCCCTATAACCCATGTAGATGTAACTTTTGACGGGAAGTGGATTCTGGGTACGACTGATACCTATCTGATCCTTATTTGCACCTTGTTTACGGACAAAGATGGAAAGACCAAAACTGGTTTTAGTGGTCGTATGGGGAACAGGATCTCTGCTCCAAGATTGTTGAAGTTGACTCCTTTGGATTCCCATTTGGCTGGGTCGAACAATAGGTTCCGTGGTGGACAGTTCTCGTGGGTAAGTACATATGTTCTGTTTTTAGATCTTATGTTTATTTCTGATGTTCAATATTATTCAATTTGGAATTGGCAATCGCTGCTCCAGTGACTCTTGACATCATCTTCTTCTTCATAGTCCTGTTTATGAATTATGATGACAACTTCTCTGGCTTAGATTGTGAAGTTTTCATGGTTTCCATATTCTCATAAGCTTTATTTGATACTTCCATCTTCTCTTGGATTTATTTCATTTAGCCAAAATTACTTCCATGCTTCTTTTCAAGATTATAGGAGATGGGTAAATTTTCCAAAGCTGGTACTGGGTTGGTTTAGACATGTTGCTATCGTGTAGCATATCTGGATTGAATATCTCCTCTTGCCTACTTTGTAAGATTATATCTATTCTTTCAAATTTATAGTCACTTGCCATTATGTCTTGCCTACAGCAAGCCGATTTGAGCCTTTTAGAGCTTCCTTTTAGGATTTTGTACCAAGAAATTTGATGGAGCCAGAATTTTTTTATTATTATTATTATCTTCGCTGCATCTTTTTGTTCCCAGAGGTGCCAATCTTCTTTTTACTTGAGAGACTGGATATAATGTTACAGAGTTTGTTTTCTCATTATTTAGTTGTTTATTATTAATTCTATTTCATATTTAACATCTTATTCATTTACCTGTTGAGCCCTTCTCTCTGACAAGGAACTGGAGGGTAGTAAACGCCATTCACGATTCAAAGATGTCAAATATATATTAGAGTTAGAGACATCACATGCCACAATATTTGGATGATGATGATGATGGGATATTTGAACATGCTGACTATCTATCATTTTATGTTTGAAAAATCTGTGAAAATTCTCTAGTAGTTGGCCATGTTTGAGCTTTTATGACATGTTTTCCCCGTTTCCCTTGATTGTAATGATGCATCAAATTCTGATTACAGCTTTCTTCTCTATTTTGTCATTGTCGTCTAAGCCTTATTGGCTCTTATCCCAACTAGATGGGGTCGACTACATGAATCTTGCTTCTTCTCTATTTTGTCTACCTCTGTATTATGTTTTAGTATCTTGTCTAGTTGGCCACTAGAAAGATTATTCTAAGCTTTTTCCCTGGCTAGGTTCTACAAAAAGGGAAACAATTTTGCACGGGAAATTGGGAATCATTGTTCATGGTTATCATGAAAGCACATTTTGACTTTGAGACAACATACAGCTCTTTATTGCAGAAACGTTGAAGGAATTCTATGAAAGTTCCATGATAAGATTATTACAGAAGAGAGAGAGAAAATATAGATGATTTCTGATCTTGTTCAGGACACAGTTATTAATATTGCTCTTAGGTTTCTCTTGTATGTTTTCTCTTACACTCAAATGGAATATCATGAAGGAGAGTAATAGTAGTACTTTTCTGCTAAAAACAAATAAATAAAAGTAATGATATCTTTTGTGGAAATAAGATTTAAATGCGAGCTTTTGCTACGTCTATGGAGTTTAGATAAAAAATCTTTAAATCTGCCATAATAGTCCCAAGTAGTTCTTTTTGATGATACTATTAATTTCCTGTATGAAATTTGAAGTTCAATTGGCATGTTGCTTTTCAGGTCACTGAAAATGGGAAGCAGGAGCGCCACCTAGTCGCAACAGTTGGAAAGTTCAGTGTGATATGGAATTTCCTGCAAGTGAAGGACAGTACCCATGAGTGTTATCGGAACCAGGAGGGTCTTAAGAGCTGTTACTGCTACAAGGTTGTCCCGAAAGATGAGTCTATTGTCGATAGCCGCTTCATGCACGATAGGTTTGCAGTCACTGAATCGCCTGAGGCTCCCTTGGTGGTTGCAACGCCAATGAAAGTCAGCTCCTTCAGCATTTCTAGTAGGCGATGACATGTTAAACTGCCCTTGTTTACATGTTAAAATTGTTAACTGTTATATATATATATATTATGCAGGATAATAATTCAATTGCTGCACCTTGAAACTTAATTGTATTTCAGATTGTCATGTTGGGTTGGGTATATATCATATTATGTATGTTTGTGGCTGTGCTGGACCTCTTTATCCATTTCCACAAGATCATGTCGATTTTAACAGATGATTTTGGTTATGAAACAAGACCACATTGCATTTGCAATTCATCATTTTCTAGTCAATCTTGTCGTCCGATTCTGATTTGGGTGTAGTATGTTGATCATGGAACACCTGGATTTCTCGCTCCAAATGTGACGCTTTCAATTCTCTGACTATCAATCATGTTATCAATCGGATGGTTGGAATATGGTATCAAGTATCAACTATCAACAACTGAACTTATTTTTAAGGAGAAATAAAGATTTGTGAATATGGGCATCATATAACCGATATCGCATGTATTAGTTCATGTTCTAGTTTCTCATTTGAAAATTGAGAAGGATGAATCGCATCATCGGTACAAGAATGCCAC